AGGAGATTGATGCAAGCTCTAACTCCTGCATTCCTCTGCCCCCCACCTCTTGTCTTCTCTGAATACTATAAAAACTGATCTGTTACACCCATTAAATGAGGCCTTGACAAGAAATCTGCCTGGCCTCCTCTTCTTTCTCGTGCCCATTCTCTTTACAGGCTGGGTCCCCCTCGCCCCCCGAATAACTGTGTCCCGCAGGACGGGACATATTTCCTTGTGTCTTCACAATGGCCTGTGAGGTTATCTAAATGTGTTACCTAAATTTTACAAGTAAGGAGACTGAAGCTTAGAGAAGTGCAGAAATTTGTCCCAGAAAGGATAAATTATAGCTAATAAGAGATAGAATCCCAACTCAAACACAAATATGTCTGATGCCTGTTCATGGCATCAGGCACAAAGTCCATGCCTGTTCCATAATAATGTCGCCTGTCCATAGATATTCTTGGTATGAGGTAAAGGACTCCCACAGATCAGGCCTGACTCATCATCTCCTAGAGCCAAGATTTGACCTCCTCCCACACCTCTCCAAAGCCCCAGCAAACTGTTTCTACTGGGGCAAGGCCAGGACTACACTTACCATCTTTCTGCAGAATCCTGGCCTGGGGCACCCTTAACCAACTAGGCCAGCTCTGTGCCTCCCCATTAACAATCTGGACTAGGTTAGCTACTACACACTTGTCTTCCACTGCTTCAGGCTTCTCAGATGAAACCCACTAAGGATCCCAACAACTTATACAGTAAACCAGAAAATTCTAATTCTAGTCATCAAGCATGGCTGCAAATTAAAATCACCTGTGAACTTTTGAAAAATCCTGTTGCTCTGGGAACCTGAGAACCATTACATTAGAATCTCTGGGGCCAGTGCCTGAATCCATAACAAACACTGTGTGAAGCTCCCCAGGTGGTTTCAAGTTACAGTCAAGACTGAGAACCACCGTTAAGGCATCTTCTTCAAGCCCTCAAAGCCATACTCACACAGGGATTTCCATATTTTAGTGTTCATAGGAACTACTTGGAGAACTTAGTAATGTGCAGATTTCTGGACAACACCCCAAGAGAGTCTCTGTTTTGGTCCAGACCCAGGAGTCGGCATTGTGAACAACCATCCCTGATAGTTTCACTGGAAATTATTAGGAGACCATATTTTGGGAAATGCTCCATGAGAGGTGTAGAAGTTGGTCGGGCACAGGAGGCTTCTGGCCCTTTAAGGACTAATTAAAGGACTACTATAAAGGCTGTGGAGCAGAGGCAGGTAGGGCTGCTTTGTTGCATCCTATGAGTCAGGTAAGCATGTGGGTCCTAGAATGTGCCTCTCCTTTTCAGTTACCCCCCCCCCACCTCTTAATGAGCAGTGTCTTGTTCTCAGCCCTTGTTCTCATGCTGCCTTGTCCCACTTCCAGTTTCTGTTGTGGCCTAGGGGAAGCAACATAGTGCCTCTGTGTTTTTGTCCTGAATCATCTTTGGTGGTGTGAAGTCTATGAACATTAAAAGTTTACCTGCCTAAAAGAAACAGATCCTTTGGGGGTTAGCTTGGAGCTTCTTGTGGAAACAAGGCCTTTCCAGATGGTCCTCTTCACAGTTCTTAGACTCCTTTTACTTTGGTAACTGATGATTTTCAAGGAGCACAGGGCCCAAATGACAAAGGTGAAGCAGACCTCTATTACCCTCCTATTTGACAACCTCACCTTAGCCTTGATTCAAGAGCTGCCGGGAGAGAAAGCCACAAGCTCCTGCAGTACAGGCTGGAGATGTACTGGAGTTCAGCTGACTCATGTGGGAACCCTAGGGAGAACCGCACCATTGGGGCCACTATGGTGAGGGTGCTGAGGCCTTAGGTCAGTGTAACAAGGCTTCTCAGAGGTGAGTTATCATGTCCTCATACTGCCCTGGAGAGGCCAAAGTGGAGAAGAGTGTAGAGGAAAGGGAATCTGTGCGTTTCCTGTCAGGCCTCATTGTCTAGTGGGCAGGTTCTCTCTGGTTTAGTTTTCAAAGGATGACAAACATGGGAGGAATAGGTTTCCAGTCCACTTTAAGGACCTTTTGGGAACCTAGTGAGATCAATTTGGGACCTTTGCTAGTCTCAGGTGATAACAAAAAGGATTTATACTCCTATATCCAATGAAACACCCACTATTCTCCTAGCTAACCTTTACTGTGAGCTTCCTGTGTACCAGACATGGTACAAAATGCTTTACAAACTTAATATTCCTTAATCCTCACCACTACTACATGAGGTAAATAGTGTTAACATACTTCTTTATAGGTGAAGAAACTGAGGCTCAAAAACTGAGACCCTTACCCAAAGTCATGTAGGTAGTAACTGGTAGATCCAGGTGTCAAATCTAGGCTCTCAGCCCCTAGGGCCTGTGTGTTAATCACCAGGCTCTGCTGACTCCTGCAGATTGAACCCAGCCCTAGGCAGTGTGTTTGGGTTGAGTATAGAGATGCATTAATTCCTTTATTGACCTCCAAGAGTCCTCAGTATGGTAGATTGGGCATATAAACAATCACAGAATGACATTATAGTATGACAAGTGCTTGGAGACAGGTAAGCTCTAATAAGGCTCCAGAACCTCAGGAGAAATGGCTTGTTGCTTGAAGTAAGGTAAGGAAAACAGGGAGACTGTTGGAAGGCCTCATGAGGAAGTACTATTTCACATAGATGTTGCAGAAGAAGCAAGATCATTCTGCATTGAGGCAGAGAAGTGTTTTCTGACTTAGGAAAGAGAATAGCTTGGTGTGGTTGGAGATTCATTCAATAAACACTTAGCACCTGCTGAGTGGTAGGCATACAGATGTGATCAAGATAGGCAAAATACCTACTCTTATGAAGCATGTATTCTTATGGTGAAAAGAAATAAGCAAACATAGTTATATTTGAATTGTGGTAAGTGCTGTCAGAGAATGAAATAGGTTGTTATGACAGAGAATGAGAATGCAATCTACCCTCTCTGGGGCACCATCAGGGAAGGTGTCTTTGAAGAAATGCCACATGAGCTCAGGCCTGTGAGATGAACCAGGCATGAGGAGCAACCAGAGCAAAGGTGTGGAGGGCAAAGGCCTCCAGGCCTGTGAGATGAGCCAGGCAAAAGGAGCAACTGGAGCAAAGGTGTGGAGGGTGGAAAGAAGCTTGATCTATTGAAGCTAGAGCCTCTTGGCGAGCATTGTGGGGAGTGGCAGGATATGAGGCTGATGAGGCAGGGACTTGTAGCCTATGATAGTGGATCTGAATTTCATTTGTAAGTTCAGAAGAAAGCTGTAGAGGCTGTGTTTGTAGCGATAACATGAGGCTAGAAAGGAGAATCTAGGGCAGGTGTCCTCGAACTACGGCCTGCAGGCCACATGCAGCCCACCTAGGACATTTATCTGCCCCCTGGGTGTTTTTGCCTCCGCTACCTGTCCTGCTTAGCAGCCAACTCATCACGGGGCCCATAGTGTGGCCCTCCAATGGTCTGAGGGACAGTGAACTGGCCCCCTATTTAAAAAGTTTGAGGACCCCTGATCTAGGGTCTATGACAAGGATCCAGAGACCAGTGACAGATTCAGTCACACAGGATGCATGAGTCAGCCCTTTCCCAGAGAAGTTCAGAGAAGAGTCTTCCTGGCTGTGATTCCTGGCTGTGATTCTTAGCAACCCCATCCTGCTTCAGGAAACATGTAACCTCAAGGTCTAGGAGGAAGGGGCCATTTCTCTGTAGACAGCCTGCTAGAGGCTTCAGTGGGTTCCTTTTGAGGCAGGGTGAGACATATAGATGGGAGACCCCTAGGAAAGATCACTGAAAGACTGGAGTGTGGAATAACTTGAGAAAGCAAATACAGGCCTGGCTAAGGATTGTGTGAAGAATGTCCAGAACCCCAAATCCTGGAACTTGAACTTTTAGTAACAATCTAGAACAGTAGGATGTTAAAGAGCTTCTATGTTTAAAAAAAAAAAAAGGAATGCCAATGAATTCCAGCCTTGTGAATTCAGTGGAGAAGAAAGGTAAGGTGAATAATACACAAATTAACATGATTATATTTACTGATAAGATACTTGAAAATGAGAGAAAGTTTTGTTTCCTTGTGGTCCCAGGGGTTTGTAATCTTTTCTCTTGACATTTTCCAGGAGAGAGGCACTGTCTAACACTTTGGGTACTGGGCATCAGCACTGCAGTTTGGATTAAAGCTCTTAGTCTTGATTAATCATGAAGAAACATGCACTTGTTTGTTTGTTTGTTTTGAGTTTTTGGTCAGGGCTGGGTTTGAACCTGCCACCTCTGGCATATGGGCCAGCACCCTATGCCTTTGAGCCACAGGTGCTGCCCAGGAACATGCACTTTTTAGTAGACTTCTCAGCAAACAAAATTCCTATGTGATTCAGGCCTGGTTGAACATGGTATTTAGAGGCATAGTGGTCAAATGAATAGGGTAAGTGGAGAGTCATTTCCACCAAGGAATAGCAAAGGAACAAATTGAGAGTCAGTGGGAAAATGACCAAAGGAGGAAAAGTTGCTCAAGAAGCACCTCTAAAGTTGGTGGAAGGAAGAAATGACAACATAGCTGTCCCTACTATGAGTGGATCAGCAAAATTGTTCTGTAGTGCCTTGGTCCCAGATTTGAAATAATCATAGTCATAGCTGGTCATAGTAGCCAGTATTGGACCATTGTCCCAAAGGTCCACCTGTATAGTGAAGTGGCATGAGGGACTTCACCTTCTTCTAATCTATGTGTGTCTCAACAATTCTCCTCATTGACCACCTTTCCTAGTCAATTAATGATATGACTGATCTTCTCCCATATATACAATGTACACAATAATGTAGTGCTGTCTTTTAGGTTTTTCCCCCTGAGACTTGTGCTATAATGTTGCAAAAGACAGTTTCTCTTTGGAAAGACATAATTGGGCTCATATCTCAACTCTACCATACGATGGCTGTGCATCTTTTTCGTTGTCTGCAAAATGAGGATAATAACCATGTCATAAGACTATAAAAAATTAAAGAGGTAATGCACATAAAGCATCAGAGCATTAGTAAATGTTCAATAAATGATAGCTGTTATTACTACCTGGAGTGAACATTAGGGCAGATTATAGCTATCAGTATATATTGAGCAGATTAGTGAGGAAGATTTAGGCTAGGAAGGAAGAAGCCAATCCTCTGCTTTTGTATCCTCTGACCTATGCAGGCCGCTGGCATTTGGAGACACTGGAGTTTCCTGAGGCTAAACTGGGCAGCATACCAACTAGTCAGAGGCATTGTGATTTCCTGCCTTCAGTTTCACCTAACTGGTTTTCCTTTCTACTGCTATGTGGATCCCTGAGTCGAGAAATGTCCAACCACTTTCCTCCTTCAGGAAGAGGTTCCTCCAAGCCTTCCCTGATGGCTGAAATCTGGACAGAGAAAGATGTCACACAACCCATTCAGCAAAGGCTCTGGAATGGCAAGGGGCACAGGGTCCTTCAATTCCATTTCTTGTGTCAATGGCAAAAGGGCTTTGAGGGACTTAAGTCCTGCTGGTGTCATACTTCACCCTTTGACCTTGCCTTCCTGTTACTCTACTTCAATGATGCTCATAATAGTGTTAAGAAGGTGAAATCTGTTCTCAGAGTCCCAGTAGGGTTTGTAGAAAGGGAATTTCCTCTCACAGAGAACCCAACAAGCAAACAATATTACATCTGAGGATCCTGACTATTCCTGGGGACATAAAGGGCCTGAAAATAACCAGTGCTCCCTCCATCATTACCATGTCACCTTTCATCTGCTGGGCTGGGATGACTGGATCATTACCCCCCATCCCTGTATCCAAAATTACCATAAGGGAATTTGTCCTTGGGTACAGCACGAATGGTCTCAATTCCCCAAATCATGCCATCATCCAGAACCTTATAAATGAGCTGGTGGACCAGAGTGTCCCACAGCCCTCATGCATCCCTTATAAATGTGCCCCCACTAGTCTCCTGCTAGAGGCAAGTGGGAGTATTCTGTACAAGGAGATTGAGGGTGTAATTAATTGCTCACTCTTGTATGTGCAGATGATGGCAAATGTACAGCTAGCTCAGGTTTCCTCCAAAATGGATAAGGGTCTAAAATGAATATGTTAAAGCTGTAAGTAATCCGCTGACCAATGTGTAAGTTCCAATCCTTGCCTTGAGAACAATTACTCAAGTATTATCCCCCATTTGCAAGCTACTCACTTTATAAACACAGTTCTGACACTAGTCTCCAAATGATGTTCTTTTGGAGATATGTGTGTTTTTTTAAGTGGAAATTTCCCATATATCACCAGTTCATGGTTGAGTATTAGAAATCTTCTTATCCAAGTCCTGGAAAAGTGAACTCTTCCTATGTCTGTCTTTGAAGCTCTAGGAGATTTGGGATGGTGAAAGTAGCTTGAAATTTTATTGTCTTTTTGCTTCTTATATCCTATAAACTACCAGTACCTGATCAGATGAACTGCCTGCCTCTGTGCCTGCATTGCCTTCTAAATCTAAAACTTTTACCAGATGGACTAGTCTTTGGAGAGTACATAAGAAAGTACAGCTTTTTCTAAATAAGCATAGCTTTCCCTTTCAGCCTCTGAATTGGGGGATAGTATCAGTGATTCCTTCCATCTCAGGATAAGGGCAGTAGCCTTTAATGAAGCCCATAGGCGATCTTGAGTATTGAGCCATGTGAGATGGTGATTTATTTCAAAACTTGCTTTTGTGATCAAGGGAAGAGCTGTCATTGATGATTAGTATTATGCATGGGGACTTATTTTAAGTGTCCTGTGGAGTAATGCTATCATTTACAGGGTATTTCCATATGTAACACCTAATTACATACAACTCCATGATGGAACAAAGGCTAGGAGGTGGCCTGATTGGGGATGGAAGGGAGTGGAGGGCTAGGAGAAGGATGAAACAGGTCTCAGGCCTGCAGGTGACTTTATTCAGAGATAATCTCTTGTATGTCTGTCGCATCTTTTATTTCCCCTTTATCATTTCTGGTGGAGGTTACTAGAGATTTTACTTTTCTGTTTCTAGTTACTCTGGCCAAAGGCTTATCTATATTATATATTTTTAAAAAACCAGCTTCATTAATTTTCTGAATGATTATTTTGTTTTAAATTTCATTAATCTCTGATTTAATTTTGTGTATTTCTTTTCTTCTGGCAGATTTAGGCTTAGATTGTTCTTCTTTTTCCAATTCCATAAGATGGTCTGTGAGTTTCTTGATGTGCTCTCT